GGCCTGGATAATACCCGTGTTAAACGGACAGCGGAGTCCGGCGACGACAGGCGCTTAAATTACATAACAAAAGTTTGATTTTATCTTTTTAAAAAAAAATCTTTTCTTTTTTTTTTTCTTTTTCCAAACTCTCTCTTTCTTACTGTTTATTCAATGTCACATACTGTTTTTATTTTGTTTTTTAATTATGTAAAGCACCTTGAAGTGCTTTGCTGCTGAAATGTGCTATACAAATAAAATTTGATTGACATTATTATGGGAGCATGCCATTCTATTTGAAGTTTTGCAGTGGCCTAATCAAAGTCCAGACATGTTCACAGCTGATCTCCACCAACCTGAGAGAGCTGGAAGAGTTTAGCAGTGACTCCCTGCTGAGACGGCAGCCAGGGTAAACACTTATTTATGTTAAATGTTTTTATTTAATTGTCACTATTTAGTAGAAATCAATTTTCGCTTCAACAATAAAGTTTTTTGTTGCAGTTATTTTTTGTCAAAAAGTCAAATTTTGTAGGTCATGATGTCATGATCCGTGTTTCTTTTTGAGATTTTCTGTGTTCAGGCCTGTCCTCCCGTTGATCGCCTCCCAGCTGTGTCTCATTCCCTGATTTCCCTCCCTGTATATTTAAGTCCATCTGTTGTCTTGGTCTCCTGTCGGATCCTCGTCGTGTTACCAGTTTCTTTGTGCCTCCGTTGTTGAATACATAAATAAATCACCATCATCTTCCTCTTACCTGGGTCTGCGTCACTCCTCAACCCCACCCATGACACATGATTGAGTTCTAAATGCTCTCTATAGACCCCTCATGGCGACATGCAGCCGTTAATCACATGATTAATCGATCATCATCCTGTCAGAACCAGCAGCTGCAGGTCTGAACCTGCCGTGACGTCATCGATGTGAAAGTTAAGGAAACGACGAGCAAAGCCGCTGAGGCCTGAAGCTCAGACCGGAGATGGGCGTCCAGGGTTTGGCCTCCTTCCTGGACAAACACCGGAACATTTACCGGGAGGTTCGGTTCGGCCGGAGCCGCCTGCTGGTCGACGGCTGCAACCTCAGCTACCAGCTGTACTTCAGCTCAGGTGAGGCTCGGTCAGCAGGTGGACGGCTTCCTGTTGACCAGCAGATGACGCAGCTGGTCATGTGCTGGAACAGAAGTGGGTCAGGGTAAGCCAGTGTTATGAAGTCAGTCTGGAGGTGAATGTCAGGAATATCTCAGCGGTTATGAAAATACTTTCAGTTTCTGTGGAGCAGGAAGTTCTCAGCCCAGAGGAGGAAACAAGCTTTTACTTTAATATAAATATCAGTAAAATGACCATCTTTATTGACACATAACAAACAATGAGGATGTAATAAACAGTGACCTGTATGATGAGTAATTATGCTCAAATTTGCATAAACATGAGCTCATATTGCAGAAAAAGCTGTTTAAAATCCCTTTAAGGGGCGGAGTTTCAGAGTTTTACTGTTGCATTTCGTACAGTTTAACTTGCTGTCCGCAGTTTGTTGTCACCTCCTTTAGATTTGTGTGTGTGGAAATGTAAAACACACAGTTATGTCAGATTAAGAAATAAACAGCAAGTGCAAGTTAAACCCACTGGAGCGGGACTCTGCGTCCAAACCGGACTAAAGCGGCAAACGCACAAAAAATGAGCGGTGCCATATTTTACGCACAAGTTAGCGTGTATAAAATTAACTTTGCGTCAAAGTTTACGTAAATATACACACATTTTTTCTCTCATCACTGCAATTACTGTGAATGAGCTACAGATATGAATCGCGGTACTAAATGAGACAACAAATAGCCCTCTCATATGCTTCAAACGGTTTTTGGATCGGCCTTACGGATCCTGAACGGGAAACAGTTGTTCGGACTGCTTTTTTCATTAAAACTGACTGGGTGTCTCATAAAGATAGATAAGTCTGACACACACGCAGGGCAGTTTCATCACCATAGCAACAGAATCCAGAGATAGGGAGAACTGCTGGGGGTTGGACTACAAAGACTCTGTAGTTCTAAATAAGGTGGAACACTTTAATACAGAGGGCTGAGCAGAAGGTCAGAACTACAACATGGCGGAACACTCAATTATTACAGAGGAGGGCTGAGCTGGCATTAAGAACTACCTCCTGTTTTTGGCATTATACAGGTGGATTAACCAAACCACTGTTACACATTGGATTAGTGTGGTTATGAAAATTAAGTTTACTGAAAGTTTCAAAATAAAACTCTGAAAATTGCACTTACAAAAGTGCACCGCCGTAGGCGGTGCATAATATAAATCTTTTTTTATGTTTTTTTTCTCAGGATAGTGAACTGCCTTGCGCAGCAAGGCAGTTCAC